TATAATTTACAGCAAGGAATACAACACTAACAAATAAGCAACAAGTCTCCAAATCGTTCTCAACACCACACAGGGAAATACACGAATTTCATACGCTTAACAAGAGTTTAGAAATCCACTTGCCTTAGCCAATCGAATAATTACTCTTCGACTTGAGCCTTCCCTTTCCGTTGAGCTTCTGAACCAATGGAATCTATTCAAGTATATATTCACAACAAGGTTTCAGAACTAACAACACTCACACTTTTTTGTGTTTAACCTTGACCTAAAAATACACCCCAAATTTATAATCAAGTTTGTAATTCTTGATATCAATTAAAATTTCCACTATCATAGTTTTCAAGTTTCAAGTTTAGAATTGCATCCTAAATTTTTCCAACGTCATAATTTAAATGGTACTCACAAAATTTTATTCATCTAGTATTTAAATTACATACCAATATATCAAGACTTGAACCATAATATAATAACTAATATTCTGAAATTTACGCCTAATGATGCCATTACGTATTCTGTTTTATGTTTTTATTTTGTTCTTTTTTTTTAATTTTTCAACCCACTAATGATTGGCTCATTATGATCCAATCGTTGACCCACTAATGATTGGCTCATCATGAACCAATCATTGATCCACCTCAAATGGTTTCTTTTTCTTTACTGTTCACGTGATTTTTCTGTTGATTTTTTTTCATGCAATCTACTTTCATTGTTATACGCACATATATAAAATTAACTATATAATATTTATATGTATGCACATGTATGTTCATAAAATAAGAAACTAAAGGAAAAGATACTTACCTTAAGCCGTTCGTAGCCGCAAATGTAGAGAAACCCTTCGCCCTTTTTTTCTTTTCCTTATTTCTTTTTCCGAATTATTTATGTACTAAAAGTGGTAATTTACTCATATTTTTTTATTAAATAGTCTAAAGGGTATAAGGTCTTAAAATTTTTATCACTTTAGCCCATTAACTATTAATTTAATCAATAATCTTCAATTATTCATCCATTAATTAACTCAAGTTAAGCAAATATTCAAAATTTTCAAAAATGACCTTCCGGGTCATTACATTATCCACCACTAAAAATCATGTTCGTCCTCGAACATAAAGTAAAAGAAATTACCTGAAGCTTCAAAAAGTTGAGGATATCTAGCATGCATATCAGACTCAGTCTCCCAAGTTGCCTCTTCTACTGATCGGTGCTTCCATTGCACTTCACTGAAGCAATCTCTTTGGTCCTAAGCTTTCGAGTTTGCCTATCCAAAATAGCTATAGGCTCCTCCTCAAATATCAAGTCTGGACCCAACTCCACAGAGTCAAGTGAAAGCACATGAGGTTCATCCGGAATGTACTTCCGAAGCATAGATACATGGAAAACAGGATGAACTGCCGACAAACTAGGTGGCAAGGCCAACCTATAGGCCACCTCTCCCACTCGGCTCAAAATCTCAAAAGGTCCAATGAACCTAGGGCAAGCTTGCCCTTCTTTCCAAACCTCATCACACCCTTCATGGGTGATACTCGGAGCCTAACATGATCACCCTCCATAAACACTAAGGCTCTAACTCTCCGGTCTGCATAACTCTTTTGTCGACTCTGATCTGTCAATAATCTATATTGAATCATACGGACTTTCTCCATAGCATCTCTCAGCAAGTCTGTATCCAAAGAGTCCATCTCCGTCGAATCAAACCAACCAATCGGAGACCTATACCGCCTTCCATACAACGCCTCGAATGGGGCCATCTGGATACTAGAGTGGTAACTGTTACTATAGGTAAACTCCGCTAATGGTAAATGTTGATCCCATCTAGCACCAAAATTGATCACGCACGATCGAAGCATATCTTCCAATACCTGAATGGTCCGTTCAGATTGACCATCTGTTTGAGGGTGAAATGCCATACTCATATCTAACTGAGTACCCAGACCATGTTGTAATGCCTTCCAGAAATGAGAAGTAAATAGAGAACCTTGATCTGATATGATAGAAATAGGAACTCCATGTAGTCGAACAATCTGACTAATATATAACTCGGCTAACTTTTCTGCCGTATATTTCACCCGAACCGAAATGAAGTGGGCAGACTTGGTCAGCCTATCAACAACAACCCAAATAGAGTCATAACCACCCACTGTGGTCGGCAAACCCACAACAAAGTCCATAGTAATCCGATCCCACTTCCAAGTAGGAATAGGCATCTTCTGAGATACACCCCCGGGCCGCTGGTGTTTACACTTGACCTGTTGGCAAGTCAAACACCTCGAAACAAAGTCTGAAATATCTCTCTTCATCGCACACCACCAATAATGCTGACTCAGATCATGATACATCTTCGCCGCTCCCGGATGGATGGAATATCGAGAACAATGGGCCTCCTCAAGAATCAATCTAATCAAATCGCCTGTCCTGGGCACACAAATTCTACCTCCGGTCCGCAATACACCATCAGAATCAAGGACAGCCTTCTTAGCTTCCCCTCTCAATACTTTGTCTCGAATGAGACATAATTTTTCATTATCAAACTTGTGTGCACGAATCTGTTCGACTAAAGAAGATCGAGCCTCAATAAAAGCAATCATCCCATCACCCTCCTCTGAGATCTGTAATCGGACAAGACTGTTAGCTAACAATTGAACATCTCTAGCCAATGGTCTCTCCTCAACACTAAGAGATGCAAGACTCCCCATGCTATGAGTCTTCCTACTCAAAGCATCGGCCACAACATTGGCCTTCCCCGGATGATACAGAATGGTCATATCATAGTCCTTCAACAACTCAAGCCATCTTCATTGCCTCAAAGTTCAAATCCCTCTTGCTAAAGAGATACTGAAGACTCCGATGATCAGTGAAGATCTCACAATGCACTCCATACAAATAATGACGCCATAACTTAAGTACAAATACCACAGCCGCCAACTCCAAATCATGAGTAGGGTAGTTCTTCTCATGGGATTTCAACTGCCTAGAAGCATAAGCAATCACTTTCCCCTTCTGCATCAACACACCACCCAATCCAACTCCTGAAGCATCACAATACACTGTAAAGTCTACACCCTTCTCAGGTAGAGTCAACACAGGAGCTGAAGTCAACAAAGTCTTCAGTTTTTGAAAGCTTAGGTCACACTCATCAGACCCCTAAAAACGCACATCCTGTTGAGTCAATCTAGTTAATGGAGCTGCAATAGTAGAGAAACTCTGAACAAATTGTCGATAATAGCCAGCCAATCCCACTAAACTCTGAATCTCAGTAGGTGAAGTAGGTCGCGTCCAGCCTCTAACTGGCTCAATTTTGGCCGGATCTACTCTAATACCCTCCTTGGACACCACGTGTCCCAAGAATGTCACAGAAGTAACCCAGAATTCACATTTTGAGAACTTGGCATACAAATTCTCTTATCTCAACCTCTGAAGTACAATCCTCAGGTGTCGGACATGGTTTTCCTCAGTCTTAGAGTAAACCAAGATGTCATCGATGAAAACAATCACAAAAGAATCAAGGTATGGTCGAAACACCCCATTCATCAACTCTATGAATGCTGCGGGGGCATTAGTCAATCCGAAGGACATCACTAGAAACTCATAATGCCCATATTGGGTCTGAAAAGCTATCTTAGGGATATCTGATGCCCTAATCTTCAACTGATAATACACACACCTCAAATCAATCTTAGAGAACAACGATGCTCCCTGTAATTGATCAAATAAGTCATCAATACACGGAAGAGGATACTTATTCTTCACTGTTACTTTGTTCAACTGTCTGTAATCAATACATATCCTCATAGTCCCATCCTTTTTCTTCGCAAACAATGCAGGGGCACCCCAAGGTGACACACTAGGGCGAATAAAACCCTTGCTCAATAAATCCTGCAACTGATCCTTCAATTCTTTCAACTCTGTTGGAGCCATACGGTATGGAGGGATAGAAATAGGCTTGGTTCCCGGCTCCAAATCAATAGCAAAATCGATATCCCTATCGGGAGGAACACCTGCAAGATCAGAAGGAAATACATCGAGAAACTCCTGAACCACGGGAAAAGAGTTCGTGGGAGGTGGTTCAACACTAGTATCCCGAATAAACGCTAAGTAAGACAAACACCCCCTCTCCACCATTCTCGGAGCACGAATAAAAGAGATAACCTTGCTAGGATAAGAGCCACTAACACTCTTCCACTCAACCCTCGAAACACCAGGCAATGCTAAAGTTACAGTCTTAGCATTACAATCAAGGACCGCTTCATAAGGAGAAAGCCAATCCATATCCAAGATAACATCAAAGTCTACCATCCCCAGAATGATTAAGTCTACCCAAGTGTCATTCCCAGCCAAAGAAATAAGACAGGATCGATACACTCGATCCACCAGTAAGGGCTTGCCCACGGGTGTAGAAACACGAATAGGTACAGTCATGCTATCACATATCATATAAAATTTAGCAGCAAAATACATAGACACATAAGAGAATCTAGAACCTGGATCAAACAACACATACGTAGGTCGATGGCATACTGGGATAATACCTGTAATAACAGCATCAGAGGTCTCCGCCTCAGGTCTCCCGGGGAAAGCATAAAGTGACCTCCTCGTCCACCTCCATCCTGGGTGGTACCTCTACCCCCACTCTGCTGAGCTGCAACACCACTACTAGAAACTCTATCACCTCTACCTGACTGAACTTTGCCACGACCTCTACCCTGTGGTGCTGGTGGTCTAGTCTTGAATGAAGAATTAGGTCGAGGCCCACCACGACCCCTTTGTGAAGTACACTGCCGCATTAGATGATCGGGATCTCCACAAGTAAAACAAAATCTCTGACCTGGGAACTGTTGTGTGGACCTTGAAAACCCATTATAATTTCCTCGCCCTATAGGCCGCTGCTGTGAACCGTACGAGCCCTGACCTGGGCTATAAGAACCCCTAGATGTCTGGCCACTCTCAAATGTTGGCATAGATGCATGAATAAGTCCCCGCTGCTGAAAAGAACCACTCACTCTCTATGATCCCCTACCTACAGATGAGGCACCATAAAACTGGCCTGATATACAGGACCTTTTAGGGTCCCCAAACTCCTCTCTCTCCATCAATTCCGCCTCTTTGGTGGCGCTCACAATGGACTGGAAAGAAGCCCCCTCCCTAGATGCCCAAAACACAGCTGACCTGATAGAGAAATCAATCCCCTCAAAAATATACGGATCCTCTCTGTCTCATTTGGAATAGTGGCCAACGCATGCCTAGACAACTGGAAAAATGTGTCTCATACTCTGTAACCGATAAACCATCATGTCTCAGACTCTCAAACCTCAAGCGACTCTCCTCTCTCACGCTTCATGGGATAAAACGATCTTGGAATGCACTAGCAAACTGCTCCCAAGTCACTGGAGGAGATCCAACTGTCAAACATCCCAAATAAGTCCTCCACCAGTCTCTCGTTGGTCCACGAAGATGGAGTGTAGCATATCGAACCCCATGTGACTCAGCTAATCCAACCACCTCTAGTAAATCTCGGCATATAGTTAGAAACTCATGAGCGTCCTCGCTCTTCCCACCCTAAAACTGAGGTGCGTCCATCTTTCGAAATCTCTCATTCCTACGCTGCTCATCCTCTGTCAGAACAACCATCAATGCAACTTGACCCCCAACTGCTGGTGAAACATCATTTTGAACCACGGGATCTACTAGTAGTTGCCTCACCGCATCCTGAACAATTGGAGATGGTTGTTGCTCTTGGGTCTGAGCCCCCTCTCTAGTACAATAGTCATGTGGTGTGGTAGTCGCCACACCATCCTGAGAAAAGCCCTCTAGCACATTTAACACCCTCAATAGTGTATCCTGAAGCAAAGGTGTGACTACAGGATCTGGAGGAACTTGGTCCTCTCTGCCATCAATATGAGGTTCTGTAGAGACCTCTCTAGCACGACCTCTCACTGGTGTTGCTCCACGTCCACGACCTCTCACTGGTGTTGCTACTGTCGCACTACTATCACGACCCCTAGCTTGAGATCTACCCCTACCTCTAGCTGGGGCCTCAACAATTGCCTCGGGAAGTGCCTCCCCTCTACCACCAGTAACATTAGTTCTAGTCCTCGTCATCTGTCAAAAGAGTATAAAACAACTCAGTACTAAAGAAGGTGACTACGCACGATGAGAAAGAATGAACAAAAGGAAGTTTCCTAGTAATCTTTATAGTCTCTCAGAGATGAGTATAGACGTCTCCGTACTGATCCTTGAGACTCTATGTAGACTCGGCTTGTATACACGTGAAACCTATGAACCTGGGGCATTGATACCATTTTGTCAAGACCCAAAAATAGGTGTGATGACACTTGTCTTATCCCACCAAGACAAGTCATCCTAAAACCCAATATCTAACAAAGTGCGGAAGTAAATGACACTCCAACAACAATTTCTTGTATGAAACCAAGTCATATTAATTCAATCCCCAAAACCAAGTTGTCACGTGCACAAGCCTCTAATGTAAATATTAGAATTGAAACAAAATGGAAGTCTAAAATGAAGTTGTCTTTCAAGTAAAAACAAAGTAATAAACTGGAGTAGGAAAGTCCGCTGAGATGACAAGCAGCTACCTCACAACCCTCCACAAGATGCCTCGAAAACGAAAAGAATGATAGGTGTCACGAAGATCCGGGCTCGTAACCTACAAAAATTTGTAAACGCAAGGGGTGAGTACCGAACCACGCGGTACCCAACAAGCAAACCTCTAAACACAAGTTAAGTGAACAAAATACGGGTACTTCTTACACCCTATCTAAACCTCCACACTACAGCCTAACAGTTTACAGTTTACCAAATACACAACTCAATAACCACACTCTATCAGTTTACACATTCTCAATAACAACTCAATATTCAACAGTCACAAGCTTCACAGAGAAACAATCACAAGATCAGCAAAACACGTGTTCAAGTTCATCAATAATAAAATGTGCAATGCCATTAGATGCAATGTCAAGTATAATGATGCATGTCTTTCTTAAAGATACACACCCGCTGTCTCTCAGTCCGAGACCCATGGGGGACATATGTGTCCATGCATTTGTCACGGCGTACGACACGACCCTCGATAATAGTAACCTTCACGGCGCGTGATACGTCCCTCGAAATATAATATCCATAGCGACGCGCAATACGACCCTCGAAATAATACATTCTTATACCACAATCATGTCTCTGATACAATGCAATTGACATGCTCAAATGAAAATGAGGAGATAACCATTTTAATAACAAAACACAATTTACAGCAAGGAATACAACAATAACAAATAAGCAACAAGTCTCCAAATCGTTCTCAACACCACACAAGGAAATACACAAATTTCATACGCTTAACAAGAGTTTAGAAATCCACTTGCCTTAGCCAATCGAATAATTACTCTTAGACTTGAGCCTTCCCTTTCCGTTGAGCTTCTGAACCAATGGAATCTATTCAAGTATATATTCACAACAGGGTTTCAGAACTAACAACACTCACACTTTTATGTGTTTAACCTTGACCTAAAAATACACCCCAAATTTATAATCAAGTTTGTAATTCTTGATGTGAATTAAAATTTCCACTATCATAGTTTTCAAGTTTCAAGTTTAGAATTGCATCCCAAATTTTTCCAACGTCATAATTTAAATGGTACTCACAAAATTTTATTCATCTAGTATTTAAATTACATACCAATATATCAAGATTTGAACCATAATATAATAACTAATATTCTGAAATTTACGCCTAATGATGTCATTACGTATTCTGCATTATGTTTTTTTTGTTCTTCTATTTTTAAAAAATTTTCAACCCACTAATGATTGGCTCATTATGAGCCAATCATTGACCCACTATTGATTGGCTCATCATGAACCAATCATTGATCCACCTCAAATGGTTTCTTTTTCTTTACTGTTCACGTGATTTTTCTGTTCATTTTTTTTCATGCAATCTGCTTTCATTGTTTTACACACATATATAAAATTAACTATATAATATTGATATGTATGCACATGTATGTGCAGAAAATAAGAAACTAAAGGAAAAGAAACTTACCTTAAGTCATTCGTAGCCGCAAGTGCAGAAAAACCCTTCGCCCCTTTTTTTTTCTTTTCCTTATTTCTTTTTCTGAATTATTTATGTACTAAAGTGGTAAAACTTTACCCATTTTTTTATATTAAATAGTCTAAAGGGTATAAGGTCTTAAAATATTTATCACTTTAGCCCATTACTATTAATTTAATCAACAATCAACAATTATTCATCCATTAATTAACTCAAGTTAAGCAAATATTCAAAATTTTCAAAAATGACCTTCCGGGTCATTACAGTTAATAATTAATAACTTCGCGTGTACGTAAATAGTCTTGAGTTATAAAATAAGAAGTTAGAAGTTTCACTTATCTTATCTTAAATGAATAAAGGGAGACTTGTTTTTTATACGACGAAACAGATAATTCGTTAGAGTTGAGCGACCTGTCGTATTATTAACAGCTCCCAAACGATTGTTTATTCGTTTTAAGTCAGCATTGAAGGACTTACCTTTATTATTTTCATAAACCCGTTAGATTGATGAACGACTTAACATTATTGCTATTTTAAAAAACCGTTGGATTTTGAAAAATCGTTTATATAGCTGTTACTAATTTTGACAAGTCGCTCAAAGTTTATCAAAAATGATAAGGAAAATCAATTGCTTATAAAAAAATATATTAATAAAAGTAATTATGTCCTTCTAATAGTTGAAATAACGGTTAGATGAAGTTTATCGAGTTCGTTTAAAAATTTTCGATATTGTGTATCAACTAAACAAAAAAATATGAAATACGTTAAAAAATAATTATTTTGCGCGTAAAAAGTTTGTTGTGAGTTATGATATCTGAAGTTAGAAGGTTCACTTATCTTATCTGAAATGAATACTTATATTTTGTATGACTAAAACGGGTAATTCGTTAAAGTTGAACGACATGTCAGAATTATTAACGAATGTCTGTCAAACGACCATTAATTCAGTTAAATTAATAATTTTTTGGTAAGTCAGCATTGAGAGACTTAACGTTGTTATTCTTGAAAATTTGTTATCCCCAGACCATCCCAACTATTTTTGCACAACCGCAATTGATTCCCCTGTACCAACAGAACCGGATTTTACAGCAAGCGATTCCGGCAGAGGCGGCGCAGCCGCAAATGAACCATGAATAGCCGGTACAAATGATGAGCTAGTAACAATAGAGTACACCATCGTTGAGTTGAGAGAAAAAACAGAGTGAAGAGTTTTTTACAGTGAGAGTTTTGCTGAAAGGGTTTTGGTTGTATGATAAAAATGGGAATAGGTGTCTTAATATAATATATTGGGCATTACTTTTAAAAAAAACAAAAAAAACTTTCATTATGTAATTTTCCAATTTTGTATAAATAATTAGGATTCATTTACGAAATTATAATATGAAAATTATAATATACAACACATATTATTAATTGATGAAAAACATAAAAAAATAATAAGAACAATAAAATGATCAAAACAAAAAAAGTAGTTTTTTTCTAACAAAACTAATTCTGTGCTAGTTATAATAATAGAAATAACAACTATTTGAAGTTTATCGAATTTTTTTCGAAAACTTACCACATTGTTTAGTTAGCTGAATGAAGATGTCGAATGTGTTACAATATAATAATTTCGTGTGTACATAAATAATTGTGGGTTTTGGAATTTGAAGTTAGAAAGTTCACTTATCTTATCTGAAATGCATAAATAAAAACTTATTTTTTATACGACTAAAACGGGTAAGTCGTTTAAGTTGACGACAAATCAGAATTATTAATGGATGTCTGTCAAATGACGGTTAATCCAGTTAAATTAATATTTAAAAAATTCGTTGGATTGATGAACTTTCGCGATCCAAAACGAGTCGTGAGTGGCACCCACACTTAACCTACTAGGTGAGCGAACCAACAAATTTTAAACCCCAACATTTACCAATAGTTCAACTGGGAATAACCAAAAATACTGCAGAAGATCCAAAACTTATTAATGGATTGATTATGACATTGTTAATTTTTTTTTAAAAAAAATAAATTATAAAGCACTATCTCCTAACCTATCGTTAATGGGAAAGCCAAAGGAACTACGAGATGTAGTTCCAATATTTAAATTAAACCGACGCGTCCCCGGAAGTACCACCTACCCATGAATTTCAAAAGTAATTATGTGTATTTATATGTAAATATTTATGTTCCTACATGCAAACTAAATCTTTTAAATCATTTTCAAAAAATATAAACTATTTTTTAAATAGACTGACCTCAAATCAAAATTATTTCTACGGTAGAGGAGCGCGATCAACAATATCGTGGCATCACTCTTATAAAGAAACAAATATTTTTTTTAATAAAAATTTCTATTCAAAACTTGCTCCATTTTCAAAACATTACTTTCGCACATATTAATTGCTTAATATTTTCCAATTTTGGTTATAACATAGTGTCGTATGTTAAAATAATAATAAAAATAAATTTGATTGTTTATTTATTGATATCACCTAGCCTTGCGTATCTAAATTAATAAAAATAATAAAATAGTCTTAATTGTTTTATATTTGTTATCACTTAGCAAGTATATTATTAAATAATAATGAAGTGACCTTGATTGCTACTTGTAACCCCCACATAGATTGCATGAGATACGGCCTGGACCCACATTTGTGGACCTCGCGCGATGCCTAACACCTTCCCCTCGAGGTAATTTGAACCTTTACCCTAACCTCTGGCTCGCTGACCTTAGGTAGACTTAGTTAGGCTAGATAGGTGCCCTAACGCGCCTTAATTCGTTAGATGGAGACTCCAAACTCACAATCCCAAAAGAGTTGTTAGGTCGTGCACAAAACTCATTTTTGTGAAAAATGGGGCGCGACAGAATGGAGACGCCGCTGGGGATATTAGGTTCTTACCATAACATGTTTCGTGCTTATTTATGTGAGGATTACTTTATTTTGTCATTTCATTATTTGTTAGGTGCTTACCATGTTTAGTTTATTTTTTTGTCTTATTTACTATTTTCTCTCCATGTTCCTTCCCTTTTCCTTAATTGTTTATTACCATGTTCACCTCTTCCTTTTTCCCTTATTTGCTTAATTAAATGTTTAATACCATACCCTCTTTCCTTATTTGCGTAGTTTTTTTTTATATCTTTATATGTTTAAATTCCTTATTTGTTCATGCTTATTTATCTATTTATTGTTAATAAACTGCCTATATATTACCACTTTCCAATTTAAATGCTAAGTGTTTATTGCTTTGATAATTGGCATTCCGCTCATACTTCCCTCAATTGGGACCCTCTTTCTTCTTTTTTTTATTTTGTTCTCGTGATGTTAAGTCTTTGCACCTCTCACAACTACTCCAATTCTATTCAAATACCCATTATAGAGAGTCGGTATATGTGTGGACGTAACGGATAGTTTTACTACCGCAAAGCCACGAGACTCTCGCATAGAATCCCTTTCAAGTCCATGTCAAGCCAACTCTTAGAAGTCCTGGTTAGGTCATACATGTTGCATAAGCCCTACGTGGTTTGAACCTTGGTGTCAATCCACATAATTAGTAGTCACCCTCTCGTCTAAAGGGCCCCAACACCCTTTGACAAATTGCATACTTATGTGTCAATGTGATCATAATAATTAAATCAAGCCAATTTTGCCAAAAATGGAGTTTAGAAGTTGTTTATTGTTTTGCTTGCAGGGTCATGGATGAGTATGAACCCCCAAACCCTCAAATGGTGAAAGAAGTGAGTCAGAGACTTAAGAACTGGTGGATAGATATAAGAAGATATAAGGAAAGAGAGATTCATCAATTGTTGGGTGGCCTCACATTTCTTATTTTTGTCGTACCAAACCCTCACCTGACTAGGGCGCTACTAGAGTATTGGGACCCTGTGAGGATGGTGTTCAAGTTTAAAGATTGCAACTTGACACCAATAATTAAAGAACTTAGCGGTTTCATCGACCTTCCATACCATGAGTGTCAAATGATGGTACCATATAAGCCGTCATCAAGGGAATTTCTAAAAAGTATGGAGAATAAGTCTAATCCAACTTGGACTTCTTTAGACCTTGGGTGGACTATTTTACACTTCTTATATTCACGATTCGGTCGAGATGATGGCTACTACATTTATGACTATGAATTTGAGTGCTCCGTTGAAGAATGGGAAAAGTATCGTCTGGATGCCTTTGCCATCTCCTTATTGGGATCCTTGGTTTTTCTTAAATAAAGAGGAAGAATCAATACATGCCTAAGGTAAGTGGTTCGAGACCTAGCTCAAAGAGGAGGTGAGCCTAGGAAAACTATAGTGCCCATGATCCTGGCAGAGATAATGAGGAGTCTGTTAGCATGTGTTGATGGTAGAATGTTCTTCGAGGGATGCAACCTTCTACTTCAACTATGGGATATCGATCACGTCCACAAGTGATCTGACATAGTAGATACCTATCTTGGTCAAGGCAACAAGATTGATAATCATCCAAGAAGGTTGGCACGTTTCGCCGCACCTGTAGGATTTGTGGACTGGCAGATATTTATGACTGAGCTTGAGAGCCGCCGAATTCAATGGAAGTTTCATTGGTTGTCCATGCCTAATGTCATAGTAAGAGGGGACGACTGATAATTCATCAATCTTATTGGCTTAAAGGGTGTCCAACCATATGCGCCTCTTCGAATACTTCGCCAATTTGGGAAAACTCAAGTCATACCACTCCGATCTGAAATAGAGCCATTTAAGTATTAGTTTGTACTAGATAAACCACAAGTCCACAACATACTTCGACGATGGGAGCGTGTGTTGACTATTCCTATTGGTGAACGACAGACTTTATGCACGCATGAGTATCGCATATGGATCTTGATAGAATCTGAAGTCCCAATATCAAGTGGAGAAGGATACCATGGGCTTACCGATGAAAGGGAAAACATATGGATACGGAGTGTGTTAAACGTGACACAAGAAGTCCCTCCCATCACAATAGGTCAAGTGGCGCCAAGCTCTTGGAGTCGATACCTCCAAGATTCCAGAATTTAGGGTGATTTTCCCCAAGTTATCCATATTCCCTTAGTTTATTTCAGCTTTTTTATGATGTATTGTTTGAATTTTATAATAAATGGAAGTTCTGTTTCTTCTAATCTAAAATCCAAATTGGCAAATAAGGCTTGAATTAATTATTATGCATCACTTATGTGTCGCTTAGGCCTACCTCTGGCTCAACGAGGCTCTTTTACATTTTGGGCGTTAATCTTAAATAATGTGTTTGATATCCCAAATAATGCAAAAAATGAAAGTTCTGTTTCTTCTAATCTAAAATCTAAATTGGCAAATAAGGCTTGAATTAATTATTGTGCATCACTTATGTGTCGCTTAGGCCTACCTCTAGCTCAACGAGGCTCTTTTGCATTTAGGGCGTTTATCTTAAATAATGTGTTTGATATCCCAAATAATGCAATGTTCTAACTTGGGCTTTGTTTTGTTTTTATTTTTTATTTTCTTTACCCTTTCCCAATGGTTGATCTGTAGACCATGGTTTACCCCACGCGATCAAAGGGTTCATTTCCTCCTCTTTCTACTTAGAATTGCAAAGGAAAAGTGAAAGTGACTAATGCTAAGGTTATGTGCAAAACTATTGAAAAGAAGTGTCTTTCAAACAAGTTGGTATCAAACCTTGAGAAGAAAATAAAGAAGTTAGAAGAAGAGTGGTTGGACATGTGCGAGTGGGCAAAGTTGCTACTTCCGCCAATCCCACTTTGGAGACCAACATGGATATGCCACCTTTCGCAAGTCAAGTCACTCTCCGAAATAATCCTCCTCCAGCCTACTCTGCCTATCAAAGTCAACCGAGCTCCATATCAAATGTCTCTGTACCAAAGACCTCCTATGTCATATCTTTTGGAACTACGTCAGACCTGTTTCCCGTTTAAGAGGTGATACGTAGGCGCTCCTATGGGGTTCGGTCTTATTATAAATGAAACTCCCATTTTCCCCTTCTATTGATAACTGGGGCAGAATTTTTGAGAGGATCTCAAAAATTCCATCAAGATTTCTCCTTGCACATCTTCATACTGGGGCAGAATTTTTGAGTAAACTCAAAAATTTTGCCAAAAGTTTCTTCTCAACAAGCAGTCAGCTTACAACGAAGATCAAATGATAAATCTACTTTTGAGTCAGACGTTATAAACTCTCAACCTATGCCATGG